GGTATTTAAAGAAGCCCATCTCTTTTCCTACAGTCAGGGAGCAGCAAAACTGAATGCTGAATAAAATATGAAGTGATCTTCAGTCTCTATGTTGCTTTTTAATTTTCCTGGATGACTCACAAGCCAGGGTGCCATCTTAATAGTTATCTGGGGCACGCTTATTAGAATCTCATTCTTTACCCCTCTTATCACCAGTTGGTATTCCCCAGTAACCAATAAGCCTTGCTGGAACAGGTGAACCTCCAGCTGCCCTGGAATGGTGTGTGCAGCCTTTGGCTGTGTGTTTGTGTGTAGATTTGTGATAGAAGTTTCAAATGTCATCTTGTGATTTAAATTTACTTGAAACTAGCCATTTGATAAAGGTTCCTTTGTTTACAGCTAGTTAGTTGAAAAGATGTTTCCTTTTAACACAACAGCAGGTAGGTAGGTGAATCTTTCTAGATGAGACCTGTCTCTGGTATTTGGCACGTCTTTAATGCCCTTACCTAAAAGTGCAGGCTTGCACCTCATCAAGCAAGTTGTGCTAATTATCCCTTTATTTGTGCCCAGCCCTGAATTGCATAGTTCTGATAGGTGTGCTGCAGTTCTGTAATATATGGAATGCTGGAAGAAATCCAGAGGCTGTTTAAAAATGTAGTTTCAAAAACTTCAGGCAAAAATACATTAAAATATGTATGAGCTTCACTTGTGTGATACTCTAAATTACCTGAAACTTGTAACATGAAAGAAGCTCTTCTTTCATTTAATATTTAGATCTTCTGATAGGAACTTTGTTATCCCAAAGGCCTCTTGAAAGCAGTGGAAGTTGTTACCAAAGTCCCAGTCTTAGCGCACTTTTACATTGAAGAAAACATTGCTGGATTTAGTGAGATTTGCTTCTGTGTAACTACTGTGTAACAACTAATGAGTGGTGTACAAATTAGTTGTGTTGCAAAAAAGATTGCTTTTAACCTATACTTAAGCAGGGTTCCCCTTTATGTCTGAGCATGGGAGACTCTGGTTTGCTTAAACTGTGCTTAGTTCAAACAAGGCCAGATTTGGTTTACGAGTTTAATGCAGCCGTGTTCCCTGAGTTAGAATGTGACAAGCCCTGTAGCTTGCTTAAAGCAGGAGGTAGATGATTCCAGTGGTCTCTTCTGGTGTGAAGGTTCTCAAGGCTTGCTTATAATGGTGCATTATGCATCTTAGTTAATTGGCAATTTGATGGTGATCCAACATTATTACTTATTTGGGAATACTTATTCCTAAAGGCACATCTCAGATGAAGCCAAGTTTCTGGTGAATGGTTGATAAATCCTAGATGAAGACTTTACCTTGGATTATTCATTTTATGTGTGGGATATCTTTATTTTGTCAAATATTTGCAAAAACTCAGTATCTTATTTCTTGTATTATTTTGCAATTCCTCCAAGCCAGTATAACCACTACAGCCCTACAGTTCAACAAACCCATGAATTTGCTGAAGCTTGGCTCAGAGTAGAAATGCATAGGATTTTAATCCTTGTTGACCAAAATCAGTATTGATTGCTATCCCTTACAAGCACGGTTTGTTTCTCACAGATTTTTCTCATGCTATTTTTAATAGCACCTCATGTCTTCACTGTGAACAGATGCATGAAGCATTTGGGCGATACTATTTAAAATGAAGTCATACGGGTTTTTTTTAAAAGAAACCTTTATATAAAAATGTATTTTTGGCTCCTAAAAATTCTAAAGAGGGGTGGGCATGAGGCAGAAAGGGATTTACTAATAGGTAACTGAGTTAATTGCCATTGATCAACAAGGGTTTTCTGACTTCCAACAAAGGTCCCACCCCTAAATTAAGCTGTTGGAAAGAAGAACCTTTGGGGTACTCTGAAATCCAGCATCTAGAGTAGGTGTGGTTAGTACCTGCTGATTGCCCGCAACCCAGCAATGGCCTACCAGCAAGATCCCACCAGCAGCTATTGCTCCTCCCCTTTGCCCTTGGAGGTTGCTCATTCTCCTGCCTTTTGCTGGGACCCAGGCAGTGGTGGCGGTATAAAGCAGGAGGAGATTCCACATCCTACGTTCTCACTGGCAAGTGGTAGCAATGATGAGAAATTGGCTGAGGAGCAGTAGCTGCTGGTGACAGTGTAGACTAATGGAAGGAGAATGCCCACTGGGGGATACCTTGTCCAAGAACCGTGGAACTGACACTGTACTCTGGAGTGGGTTCTCCTGTAGAACTTTATTCAGTTCTGATTCTCTGAGTGTAGAGTTCTTTAATCCTAAAGGTGTGCCTTTTGTACCAGGCTCCAGTTGGTGGTTCTGGGGATTTAGTAATACAGCATCAACAAAACAAACTAGAGCCTACAAAATTAAAGTTTGCCTTTTAGTGCCATAATGAAGTCACCTTTGATGAGGTCTCTGCTGGCCAAGTCTACAACTGATTTGGAATCTGTGATCTGTTGTAATTTTGATGTAGCTTTATCTGTAGAGGTCCAAAGTCAGCCTTACCGTTACCTGAAATGGGGTGATTGCCTCAAGTGGCAGATGCTGGAAGGTGGTGGCAAGTTGTTGGAGGGGAGAGCTGGACCTGCATGGCTTGTTGCCTTCAGGTGTTGTGAAACATGATGGCCCATTGTCTGTGTTGGAGAAAGGTTCAACTATCAATCCAGTTGACCTTTTCATACATGGAATGGAGTGGGTTCCCTCTTGTCCTTTGTCTCAGGTAGCAAAATACCTCGGGCTGCCCCAGTCCCAGTCTATGGCATATGTGTTGTAGACAATAATTGTAACCAGCATTTTGCATCTAGCTTCTCTCCTCCCACAGTTTCACACTAATAGCTGGTCTGCGGATCATGGGAGTTCTAGTAAAAACTAAAGTCAACCCACAGGCTGGATATCTCTCAACTTTGTTTTTGGTTTCTTTGTGTGTCTAAGAAACAAACTACATGGATTTTACTCCATAAGGGCACCATGGGGGAAAGAACCTGTTTTCAGATGTTTAAAGATTTGTAAAACTGTGTGAAAAATGAGAACAAAATATGCCTGTCTTGTGTCCAGCACTTCTGTGCTGGACACATTTTTCTACATTATTCTCTCTCCTGCAAAGCTTTTTGCATGCTGCTGTTGTCAGTTAGACTGTTCTTTTTTCCCTTTTCCTGCAAGTTCTGAACTACAAAAGAATAAACAATAGTGACGTATAAAGAGTTGATTTAGTCTAGGGGAGTGACTGCTTCAGTGAAAGGAAATGTATTTTAATCTGACAATAAGGTTAGATTAGTCCTTTCGCAAAACTGTAATTTACAAAGCAAAGGTCAGGCACAGCTTAGTGCTACCCCTGGAGACCTTTGTCTAGTTTCCTTCCATTTTTCTTGCAATTATGCTGTTTTCTTGGTTAGATTGCAGAAATGGATAAGGTTGCCATATTGTCTGGCTGGCCAGGTTTCTCCTGCATTCTAGTGATGCCACCTTGAAGCCCCAGGCACATTGGCTGGTCCAGATTCCCAGCTTTCATCATTAATATAATAATAAAAACAAGTTTCTAGCCATTTTAGAATTAGAGATATGAGATAATACAGGCACTAGGCACTAGAAGTTATTCTTTATTACACTTATATCCCACCTTTTTTCTCTTTCCAGGAACCTAAGGTGGCTTAGATAAAATTTAGTAACTTGCAAGTTTGTGTTTACAGTGGTATCAGAGTTAGAGATAAAAAGCCACCTAAGAGCATTGAAAAGAGAAAGCACCAAGGAATTTCAATGCAAAAGGAAGGGAAGGGTGGATAAGGAAAGATGCTGTAGATAAGTGAGATGAAGGGTTTTTTTCCTAAGACTACCAGTGGAATCCTATCCAGATACACTCAGAAGTAAGACTGACAGCATTTGGGTTGACTACCAGGAGAGTGTGCATAGGATTGCAGCCCTAAACCTTTGTATATATTTGAACCTTTGGTTCAAACAAATATTACATTAAGAAAAACCTACCTTTAGGTTTCTGTCTATAAAGGAACTTTGGAAAGAGTGATTTGGAATGGATAGTTAGGAGTTGCTTAACCCCATTTCCATCCGGAACATGATTTGGGGAAATGAAATACAGCATTTGCGAACATGAGAATACAGGTTTTGTGTCCTATAAGCCTGTAATGACAGAAGACCATCCTACAACTCCCAGTGGCTGGGAATTGTAGAACTTTTTCTGTCCAAACATGCCTAGGATTGTGCCCTATTTATAAACCAATTCTTAGTGTGTGGATTCTTCTCTGAATATGAGAAAACACTTTGACTTTCTGTAAGGAATAGTTGGAAGTGAGGACTGTCCTGGGTGAGGCATACTTTTTCTTCCCTGCTCAAGGGTGAATTCCTTCTCTTGTCAGCATTAATAATGATTTAATGTTAAGCATGCTTAATGCTATTCCTGCATTAAGGAATTTATGAGGAAAATAGGTAGGATGCAGGAGTGACCCAGTGGATAAGCCACTGTTTGTGCAATAGCCTGGGAAACCCGTTGCACTTGCAAGTGTTGCTAATGTTGCACAAGTGTTGGTTTATGCTGGCATGATGCTCACTGGGCCTGTGCCCGAACACCAAACCAGAGTTAACATGTACCAGAGGAGGAAAGTTGGAATTTGGTCAGGACAAGGGAAGAGGTCTCTTTCCTTTTTATTTCTAAGTTAGGGAGCCGCTGGTATTAGGTCTGTGCCGTCTTTTTAATCTTGCTTTCAGCGCCTAGACATCTGCCTTAGCTGTATTCTTCCTTGCCCCAGCCAGGGACTGAAGACGAGCTAAAAGCAGGCCCTGAGACCAAACAGAATCGTGCCGAATGCTTGCACAGAGGCCGAGTGGGACTTACATGCAAATAGTGGTTCTTCAAATCAGATAGTAATTTCTGGCTTGTGGCAAATTTAATTTCGTTTGGATGGGAAGTGCTTTTGGATGGGAAACTGGGCTTGCGAGTGACATTTGCATTGAGGGGAAAAATCCTGCCTGAGCTATTTCCATGGAAATGAACCATACTCTGCATGGATGTTTTTCAGGAATTGCTTTGGGACCTGCCCTTGGCATGGGCAACCATTCCCAAACCTGGAGGAGGAGAAGAGCAACGTTCCGAACTCCCTGGCTGAACAGACATAAAGTGTAAGCAGGAGGGAGACCTTCCCAGCCGCCATGCCTTTCGGGCTGAAACTGCGAAGGACCCGGCGCTACAATGTCCGCAGCAAGAACTGTTTCATGACCCGGATTCGCTTGTTGGACAACAATGTGATCGAGTGCACCCTTTCCGTGGAGAGCACGGGGCAAGAGTGCCTGGAGGCCGTGGCTCAGAGGCTGGAACTGCGAGAGGTGAGGGTCACCCAAGAAAAGCCATCTGTTGCTGGCAATTTGGCTTATTTTTTAGTTTGATCTGCATGTCATTTGGAATCTGTTTATTAGTGTCATGTTATTCTTGGAACTGGCCCGGTCTTATCACTGAATGGAACTTTGGCAAGCGTATCCTGCTTACATAAAAGGCAGGGGCAGTCCAGTACCCACAGCTTGGATTGCGATTCACTGTCATTTCCTGCTGGGTCAAACGCTCGGTGACCTGAAAGGAAACTTCGTATTCTCTTTCTCCATAAGCAAATGCTGCTTTACTATTTGATCAGGCAGCTAAGGTTTCCACAGCCAGGCATGGCAGCAAGCATGTTTAAGACTCTTACTTTTGAAATTCAAGGCAGCTGGATTTGTCGAATGTTCCTGTATGCCATGGAAGCAAAGATAGGAAAAAAAGTCAATTTTCCAAAACAAATCCTGGAACAAAAGGGCAAATCCTATAAACTTGCCTTTTTTGGCATGATTTGAAGGGTTCATCCAAGCTTCCACTGAAGTTTCTTGGCATTTCAGCATGACCTTTCTTTCTTTCATTCATTCATTCATTCATTCATTCTTTTCTATACCATCCAATAGGCAAAACTCTCTTAGTGGTTCATTACAACACATTAAAATACAACAGAAATACACCATGTTAAAAACATACTAAAACATCATACAAAGTTTACAATACAAAATTTAAAACCAAGTTTAAAATAAATCTTAATAAAATGTAACACCTGTTTAACAGCTAACAGGCCCCAGTGGACGGCTTTAATGCTCTGTGTTCATTATTTGGCACAGAAAAGATAGTAAACTTGGTATCAGGGAGGCCTCTGTGAGGAGTTCATTCCAGAACTGAGGGGCCACCGCTGCAAAGGCCCTTCTTGTTGCCTCCATTTGGGCCTGCTAGCTGTTAAAGGTGAAGGTAGGCCTCAGAACTTGATCTTAATGTCCAGGTAGATAAAGAGAATCAACAGCTATTGTGGTCCCAAACTGTGTAGGATAAAACTAGCACCTTGAATTGTGCTTTGAAGCATATAAACAGCTGGTGCAAGTGAGCCAGAATTGGTGTTACGTGATCAAATCATCTGATCCCTGCTATTAGTCTGGTTGCAACATTTTGCACAAGCTGAAGCTTCCAAACAGTCTTCAAAGGCAGCCCCACATAGAGGGCACTGCAGCAATCTAGCTTAGAGATTGCCAAAAGACAGATCACTAATAGCAGCCTTCCTCTGTCCAGATAGGGACATAGGTGTGCCATCAGGTGATGCTTTCCCCCTTTTTAAGACATTCTCAGTAAATACGCCCGAAATATCATTGAACTTGTTTTTCTTTATATGCCCCTTTCTCACTGTGATATCACATGTTAATTTGTCATTAATAGCAGTATTCCAAACTTCTCTATACCAATCAGACAACTGGTAAAATCATATTTTATTTTCCAATTCTTAGCTATAATTAATCTTACTGCAGTTATTAAATGTGTTGTTATTTCTTCATTATTTTAATTAAATATTGAAAGTAATGCAGATTCAGGACATTTATGTGTATATCTACTTATAACACTCCTTCAAGGGAAGTGTAACCCTAACCAGGACAGGTTGCGTTCCCTCCATCTGCTTGGAGGAACCACTCACTATTAGCATCTCAGTCTTGCCTGGACTGAGCGTCAGCCCTCTTCCAGTCCAGTGTCACAGCCAGGCACCTGTTGCACCTCCACAGCATCACCTGTTCCCCTAACCCTGCAGAGGGGAAAAGTCACCGTTAGTCTAAATCTCAGCAGGCCAGTGAACCAACACCCAGCCCCAGTGTCAGCCAGGAGAGAATGCTAACAAGATGAGAAGACAAGCTGGTGAAGGTGCTAAACCAGGGAGGGACAGAGGGCTGGCAGATGGTAAAGCCCACGGAGGGGTTCCGGTAACACTACTGTGCCACAAATGACAACGTAAGGTGCTCAGCCTATGACACAGTGGCTAGTATTTTGGACTGTATCTTGAGAGATTCAGATCCTCATGGCCACTTGGCCATGAAGCTCATGTGGTGACTTTGGGCCATTCACTGACAACCTATCCTACCTCGAAGGGTTGTTGTGAGGACAAATGGAGAGGGAGACAATTATGTAAGTTGCCTTAGGTTTTTTGCAGGGAAAAGGTAGCAAATGTAATAGTGCATAATAAATCTATAATTTAGTTGTAAATACTGCAGATTTCATTGGGATTTATTCCTGGGCAAGCATGCATAGAATGGCTGGAGATGAATCAGAGATGCAGAGCATCAGGTTTATGGGCTTAATGTCACCTTCTAGAGGTCTCAGCTGAGGTTTTTTTCACCTGGCCATGCCCCCTTTTTCCTCTTCCTTCTTCCTGGGCCTGCTCCTTCCTCCTCTCCGCTGCTTGTTTGGTGATTTCCCACTTTTTCTCCTTCCAAAATTTCAAACGATCTGCCTGAAGGTTACTCACTGGCAGGATGAGCTTTAAGCCAAGAATAAAGCCTAGCTGTGGGTGCTCAAGTTAAAATGAGGGCACGTTCCCCCCCAGTGTACCAGGCAGACTGTTCAGTAAGCTGAAGCTGGGGAAGTGAAAGCTTTCTTGTCATCTCTGCACTCTTGCCTCAGCGCTGCACACCATTCATGGCCTCGGGATTACCCCCAGGAGATGCTGCTTTCAACGGGTTTTCTGTTTGTTTCTAGAGTTGGGTGGGTGTTCTTTGGAATTTGGACGGCTACCAACTGTACAAAACCTCGAGAAGGATGAGATGGTGTCAGGTTTTCCATCTGGCCTGGATCTTAATTTGTAGCCTAGAGATACTCTTCTGTTTGTTTATATTTTATTTTTATACCTAAAACATTTGTGTAGCACGCTTAATCCAGTACTTTCCAGGACAGTAAAAAAGCAAACATGGATAATAGATTCTATAGATGCGTAACCCTAGCATTAACCATAAATTGAGAGGAACTAAAAACATGCAGCAAGGGTTTCTGAAATTATTGTGCCAAGGCAATGAACATGTCTTATCCCAGCACTGAAAAAAATTCAGTTTAGGCACCAGAATCACCTCTTTGAAGAGAACCATTCCTTAAAAATCTCAGTCTTTCATTGTCACGTTGGCAAGGATGGCAGCTGGACAAGAGGTTCTGCAGGAGATCTTGAAACATGGGCAGCCTAATACAGAAAGAGGTTCTTCTCCATACATTGCAGTCCCCAGCATTTCAGATTTGTAACAGCAGCTGGAGGAGAGCTTTGTGAATACCCTGGACTGAAGTGGGTCCTAGTTAAAATCAAGCTAGAACTTTCTCTAGACAAAAATGACAAAACTGAGGCTGTGCATCAAGGCAAAACTGCCTGCAGAAAATGCTCATGGTAGGGAATATTGAAGAGGAAGAGGGAGACCAAGTATGAGATGGATTGACTCCATAAAGGAAGCCACAGCCTGGGCTTAGCAGGAGCTGAGCATGGCTGTCATGGATAGGATATTTTGGATGGTCTTCATTCATCCAGATGCCAGGAGTTGGAAATGGCTTGATGCACAGAAGAGCAGCAGCAGCAGCAGCACTTGGGGCTCAGAAGTGAATAGACAGCCAGTGCTTTTCTTTACATTTAGTGTAGTATGGAAAAGCATGGCGTGCAATCCATATTTTGCATTGGCTGTAGCTTCCCCATCATCTCCAAGGGCAACCCCATATGCAGTGCAGTGGAGCCGTACAAACTGGTAGCTACTCGAAAATGAATCATCATGACCAGGCTATGCCAATTCAGCAAGAGTTGCATGGGGTGAACATTAAAACTGTTAAAAGGCACTGGACATGTTTCCACAACAGGCTAACCCACCTTGGCATTGGGCCAGAATGGGTAGATTATTGCCCAACCAACTGTGGGCTCATTGTGGGTTATTTATTTATATCCCATCCTTTTTCCTTCCAAGCAACTCAAGGTGGCTTAGATAATTTTCCTCTACCTCTTAATCTTATTCTCACAACAACAGCCCTGTGAGGTAGGTTGGACTGAAAGTCAGTGACTGCCCCCAGATCACCCAGTGAATGACTATACCACACGGGCTTGCTCTTTCTTTCCCTCCCCCTCCTTCCCCTTTGGTCGTCCCCACAGATATCTCAGCAGGACTGTTTTGTTTGTTCACGCTTGTAGTGATTGCTTGGCCTGGCCTTTCTCCCTTGTTATTTTATTTTGCAGAGGTGTGGGGGATCATGTTCCCCATTTTGAAGGCCTCAGATAGTCCCTTCAGTATGTGCAAGGGGCATATTTGATAAGCTGTCAACGGTTGGAAAACTATTTTGAGGGGGTGGGAGTTGGCCAAATTTGCTTGATTACAGAGATGTGCAGTTCTGCAAATGCAAAACTGGGAACCCTCATTTGGACATTGCCCTGCGGTTACATGCTCTCAAGGGCATTCACTTTGAGAGGCTTCAGAGAGCTCATCCCTCTACTCTGCTTTCTCTTGACTGGTGTCAAAAGGTGACCTGTCAAGGGAAAGCAAAGTCACCAATGATCTTTGCTTGTGAAAGTGGCAACCAGTAAATCACCCTTTTCTGGGAAAATGCTCATATTTTTCTTTTTTGCCTGACTGTCCTCAGGCCCCTGTATATTTTGCACTTTCCTCCAGGACTGTAGCTGCTTGGGAAAGTGCATCCAATTCTGGGAGGAAAGGAGTTGATTTACTTTTGTGTATGGCTTATATTCCAGTCAAAAACAGCCACTGCCCTGTCAGAACCCTACTTTAAAAGGGAGCCTGAATTGTGACAGTTCAGGCTGGCTTGTTGCTTACATTGAAATAATATGGATTTGTTCAGCTTGATAACCCACGGTATCTTATGAGCTTCTGTTGTTGTTGTTGTTAGTCACAAAGTCGTGTCGGACCCATCATGACCCCACGGACAACATTTCTCCAGGCCTTCCTGTCCTCCACCATCCCCCGGAGTCCACGCAAGCTCACGCCAACTGATTCAGTGACTCCATCTAGCCACCTCATCCTCGGTC